AGTTGGTGCACCCCTCTTTTCTTGAAGTTACTTGAGAAAAGTTAAAAAAAAATTGTGTTTAATAATAGAGGCTATATACAATATGGAATAGAAAAGCCTCATATGTTCCTAATGTCTAATCTGAAGTTGTCAAAATGGGTATATTCGGAAATGCTGATGCTAACAATCCAGTAGTAATAAAGTAAAGATTTAGGTTAGCAATTCTGATTCAAAATATCATTCAACATTTCACGTCTTTCTTTGGAAAAAGCCATGCGTTTAGACATTTTATTGGTGCTTCTGTATACGTTTACATCCTTCTAATTTGGACAATAAAATAAATATTTTATTATTTCTAATTTCTAGCACCATATGTTAAAATTGTTTTTTTCTTGCCTTTTTTTTGCAAATCGATCAATCACTTTATCCAATTAATCAATCAATCGCTTTATCCAATCAATCAATCGATCAACCACTTTATTAAATCAAGTTGACAAGCTATTGCTTTAGAGCTAAGATGGTGTTGTGACATGCTGTTTCTTAAATATGTTTTAATTAATTTTGAAAAACTTTGCTCTGCTGTAGTTAAAAAAAAGAGACGTGCTTCAATAATGTCGGCAAAACTACTGCGGTGGTTGCGATGTGAATTAAAAGTAATTCAATAATTATAGAAGTAAATTCTTTTGATCATTGAAACAAACTTTAGATTAAAGGTATACCGGATATTTTTGCCGGATATTGAACTTTTTTAAAGTTCTATAAGTGTTTATGAAGAAAAAACATGTCTTGCCAATCTACAATATATAGTATTCAAGATCTTACTTTAAAAAATTTAAGAGAAAAACTGTATGAAATGGAATATATGCTAAAGAAGTATAGAAAATAGTAATTTAAAAAAAAAAAAAATTTGGCTTTAAAAAACAATTTTTACGCATATACCTGTGTTATACCAGTTTTTTATTTTATTTTATTTTTTTAAATCTTGAATACTACTTAATGTAGAATGCCAAGACTTGTTTTTTCTTCATAAACACTCATAGAACTTAAGAAAAGTTCAATATCGGAGGTGTCTTACAACCTGAATGTTTTCAGGAATGTTACAATCTGAGGGGTATTCCGATTGTAACACCTTCGATTCTTCCAGAATATCTTTATTAGATATCTTTGTTAACTGTCGAATGGATTCAAATTTAATGGTTGATTAATTAATCATTATGTCCATTACTTTAACACACCTCAACATTGAAACGTTGTTCATTTTTATTAAATGCGCTATTCTACTTATAGATTACTATTCAAAGAATTTTTTTGAACAACGAAATCCTTTTTTGGGAAAAAATGATTTAATATTTCACATAGCTGATAACGCAATAGCATTGCTTTTACAAAAACTCTTAGTTATTTCTTAAAGTCTGGAATTGGGTTAGGAGTGATGGAAACATCTCAACTGATTTCTTTATATCTTCACGCAGGTCTTGCATCATTTTCGAGTTTGTATTTTTGGTTTCTAGTAATTTACTTTGTTCTATTAGCAAAATAACTATTGAAAATTGTTCAAAATAACTAAACAATTTTTTAGCTTCACGTTGCTCATCATGATTTTTTTATTTAAAAACAAATATGTCACTACTTTATTAATATATAAATAACGAAAACATCAATAGACTGAGTGCGAGACCATCGTGTCGGACAAACTCTTTTTTAATTTTTTTGCTAAGTTTCCATTAACATTGCCCAATGTCTAACAGAACTGAAAAAAACGTAAATTTTTTGCAACTGCTCATAAAATTGCTTAATTTCCTGCACAATGATACTTTCGTTGATCACTAAACTCAGATTATGAGAACAGCTGTGCACAAATCTGCCAGCGAGGTTTCGTTGTCTAATTCTTGCCTGTTACCCTGAGTAGCTGCGTCTCATATTTGAAGCCCTGTTGCAACCTTGACCTTGTACTTTTGATTGATCAGTAAAATTTTCTATAACTTTTAAGACTAATGTTTCTAATCTTTGTGATGTTTGATCAGTTACCTGAGTAAATCCTCAAAAAGTTTCCTTTATTTGCAACTATTATTGGTTTTATAAATAAACTATTATTGGTTTTTCATTTTTCTTTTTTTTAAATCAAAACTTAACAGAATGAGCAGCCTCAAAAACAAAGGATCTGTGGTTCAAACCCTACCTCTGGGCAAGTTTTGCGATATCGGTTAGGAAGAAGGCGTGAACTTCAACTAAATGCTTATCCGTAGTGCTCAGTGATAAGACCGCAAGGACTTCTTGGGGCACTTTAAAAAAAAAGAAAAAATACGGTAAGAATATAAAACATTTATGTGAAGACGACATTTTACTTTTAAATTGAATAAGCTATTTTATTTTAAATTATTTAAACTTCTTTAAATACAAGCAAATTAATCCGTCCGTTTTCACATTAAAATAGATTATGCAAGTGTATTTATTATAAACAAAAGCTTCTCAAACGTTTTTTTATTGATAATAAGAGTAGGTTTTCTGTTTTGGAGGTGATTTGTAGAATTCCCTCCCCCCCCTCCCTCCTCCGTCAATTTACTTTAAGCTATATTTCCGTCAATTTGATTTAAGGTGGCTACCCACTAAATAAAAAAAATATTTAAAGGAACCCTTTCTCCATCCAAATTTAAACATTTTAATTGCATTACAATTAAATAAGACAAAAAATACAAAAAAGTTATATTTTTATTATTACGTCATTAATTATGCGCATAATTAACTCAAAAGCAGCATGTTTTAGTTTGAATGGGATACTATAGTACAAGTATTTTTGCCTCAGCACATTCATCTAACTAGATTTTGACTCTGTAAAAAAATTCAACTTAAGATATTATTTCAAACTAAAGATATCTTTGTTAGAAAGTAGAAAATTTGTAATTGGAGAAAAATGCAAAAAACAAATATATTAAACACAAAACAATAATAAACAGTTCAAGTAAAAAAAAACCAGAAGCATAACATTCGCCCTCGTTTTCTGTTGTGTTATCATTGTAGCCTTTTTTAATTGATCTTAGTTTTTTTCTTCGTTTTTTGACTAGCTCTGCTGACTTTTTGTTCATCTCCCTAACGCGTTTAACATCAATATTTAGAAGTCCTTTCAAAGTATACTTTCCTTGTAAAATACCAATCTTGGAATATAAAGGAAGTAGTCCCTGGGAACCTTTATTGAAGCAAATGACAGCAGATGCTGCAGCCATCTCTAAAGAATCTTTTCATGTAAGAACTCTTTTCGAACATTTGGTCCATATCATGCCATTCAAAGATTCATTAACATTTTGAGTTTTACTGTGCAAACATTTTTCCAGCAGCTTTTCGTTTGCAAGATCCTGATATGAAAAGATTGGTTTAAGGATATTTGCAACTGCTTGAGGAATATTTATATTAGACTTATAAGTATTTTGCCTGTGACTAAGTCAGAGTTATACTTGCACCAAGATTTGGCTCCTATCGGACAGAGTTCATGACGTTTCTTTGAGTCATCATTTTCACAACAATGAAAAATTATAGCACCAACTGCTTTTTTCATTTGGTAAAGGCTATCTGTGTTTTGGCGTATTGCCAAACCATAATAATTCTGTAGCCTATTAATTACTTTGTCAGTAAGGCGTCCTTTACCAGACAAAGGTTTACCATCTGATAACAGTTTACCTCGATAGTTTATTCGCAAAATTCTTAACCGTGCACCACATCGCTTCTGTACATGGCCTACACATTCTGCTTTTTTTATTTCAAAGCCTAGATAAGGATCTGATGCAACAACTCTTTGGTATGACTTGGTATCACCATCACCAATGTAAGTAGTGTATCGTAAATTTCAATTAATTACTGAACGACCAAAAATCTTTATTGCACCTTCTACTTCTATAGCGCCAGAGCTGCCTACATAGTTGATTATACAGTTGTGGCTAAATTTCCACAATTTGTAGTCAGCTGACTCTTGTTTCTTTTCCCAAAAACTGCAAGACTTGCACATTTTGGAAAGAACTTCAATGTCAACACACTTTCCGTTAGATATGAGAGTGACTACACCATTTAGAGATGTATACCCATGACGTTGCCATGATCCATCTGTACTTGCAGATATGTTGACAACTGCATCATTATGTTAGGTATAGAGATGTAAGTCGTTTTTTTGGTTCTTGTTTTTTTGCCAAAAAAACCAAGGGCTTCGTTTTTTGTTTTTTTTTGTTTTTTTGGTGTTTTTTTTACAAACCACTTTTGGTTTTTTTGGTGTTTTTTTAAACAAACCACTTAAAATAACTTTAATTTTGAGGTGATATATATTTAAAGACATTTCTATTTTTCTATTTACCATTATAATGAATAAAAAGTATTGTTTTTTTTTTAATTTTCATCAAATAATATTAGCAATTGTTCTCCAATTACTAACTATAAGTTCTTCAGTTGTTCATTAAACAGTTTCAGTAATTGTTCTTTAATTTCCTACTTTACTATTTCATATTATGTTAGAAACAAAATATAAAAATAAAAGAAAAAAAGATCATTTAACAAATCTTTTTTTAATAAAATATAGTAGCAATTTAACAGAGAGAACTTTTTGTCTTTTTAACGCAGAAATGTTTTTTGAGATAAGAACTATTTTCTTTAACAAAATTTTCCTCAAAATTAAAAACACATTTATTTAATAGAATGAATGAGAAAAGAAAAAAAAAATTATAATCTTATGAATGAAATACCACTGCATTGCAAAATGTAAAAGTATTTTAAGTTTCAATGATATTTTGGCACAGTTTTAATAGAAGTTTTTTGTTCATCAAACTTTACTTGGTATCTTCTTTTTTTTTTAATTTTCTGTACTATTAATTAAATTTTATTTGTAAACTATAAAATAATGTACCAGTTTACAATTAATTATATCAACAATAAATTTAAGTTAACTTTCATAATTGTATTTTATTAATAACTAAATTATTAATTATATTTTGCAATATCAAGGTTCTAGTCATTAATTTGGCAGATTTCTAGTTATTAGGTCTAATATTAAAAAAATATGATCATTAATAGTAAAAAGGTGGTATGTTGTCATACTGGTGGTATAACAAAAACAACTGTGAGCACTTTATTTAAGCCAGCTAGCCAGGTGAGCAAAATGGAGAGAGTTCAATGTTCTTTTTGCAATGACATTATGTCAAAAAGTGGAACTAGAATGGCAATGCATATTAAGAAATGTAAAAAATGTCCAGCTGAAGTGAAACACAAATTTTTAAATGATGAGATAGTAGTGCAAAAACATCCCGTAAAAGATATAATACAAAGCAAAATAATAAGCCAATTTAAAAATCTTATTCCTAATAATAACTTTAAAAGTGTCACAAATATTGCTCCAACCTTAAATTCAGATGCGTTAAAACATTCCGAACCAACTTCTAAAAGTGGAAAATCCTGTTTAATGTTTGATAGTATGAAACTATGTGAAAAGGTTAGTATTAACATATTTTTATTTGAAAAAGTTGTAATACAATTTTTTTTTTCATTATTTATTTGAGTTTATTTTTGTAATAGGAATCAATTGATGTACATTTATCCAGAGCAATTTATGCTAGTGGATCACCTTTAAGTTTAGTAGAAAATAGATATTGGAAAACCTTTTTAAATAATTTACGTCCAGCGTATAAAATCCCGACAAGAAATGAAATGTCAAATAGGCTTTTGGACAATGAATATAATCGAATTTCTGCCAATGTTAAAGAGGTAGTAGCAACAGCAGATTCGTTAGGATTCATGTGTGATGGGTGGAGTAATGTAAGGTGAGTTCAAATAAATTATAAAAATTTTTTATTGTTATAATTTTCATTTTCAAACTTTAAAATTCTTTAAATTTTTTAGAAATGAAGCAGTTATTAACTTTGTTTTGACACTGCCTTTATCAGTGCCTGTTTTATGGAAATCACTTCCTTCAGGTAAAATGTGCATACATTCCTCTGATTATATAACTGAACACCATTGTGTAAATTATTCTCGTTAAAGTAATAATTTTAAGGTTCATCAAGACATTCTGGGGAATGTATAGCTGATTAAATACGGAAAGTTTTAGAAGAAATTAATCCTAAAAAGGTTTAGGAATAGTAACAGACAATGCAGCAAACATGAAAAAGGCATGGAGATTAATAAAAGAGAGCTATCCTTACCTTAATTGCTATAGATATATATCTCACAGTCTCAATTTATTTTTAATGATTTTATGAAACTTCCTACTCTTTGCGTGTTAATGTCACAAGCAACAGATATTGTAAAGGAAGTAAAAAATTCTCACATATTAGGTGCAATATTTAGAGAAATTCAAAAATCATCAGTGGAGTCAAGCATTTCATTAAAACTTCCTATAAAAACCAGGTACTTGTAAGTTTTGTACAAGTAATTGTAACATAGCTTTATAAAATATATATTTGTTCTTTTACTTTTTTTAATCAAGTTAGTATTAGTGATTAAAACCTATTTATTATTAGATGGGGTTCAACTGTAACATGCCTCGAGAGTTTATAGAAAAATAAACAGTGCTTAAGAACTTTGGCTATTTCTGAACGCTGTGTGTTAAATTCTACGATTAAAATTAATTTGTTATCAGATATTTTTTGGGATAAAGTTCAAGGATTTTTAGTTATGCTAACACCAATAGCTGATGCAATTAAAATAACGGAAGCAGATAGTCCAATGCTGTCATCTATAGTTGAAATTTTTTATATCTTAGAAGAAAATAATAATCAAAACATAGTAGCTAGTCCTTTAACTAAAAAAGAAGAAGCAGAAATGAAGAAACTATTTGCAAAAAGAAAAAAATTTTGCTTAACAGAAATTCATATGGCTGCTAATCTACTTGACCCCAAGTATCAAGGAAGATATTTAAATGGGGAGCAAAAGGTAAGTTAATAGTAATTTTAGATTTGAAAAAAGAAAAATTTAACTTAATTTTAATCAATATTCTACACTTTTTTAACAGATTGATGCATGTGAAATAATCCATTCAATTGCTGTAAATTCGTCTAATATCAAAATAGATATTTTGATGTCTGATTTAGCAAATTACCAATGTAAAGGAGGCGTTTTTTCAAAAAGTTTTTTATGGACAGCAATTGACTTAACATTTGCTCCGAATTGGTGGAAGGGATTATGTTCATCTACTGAATTATCCAAAGTAGCAGCAAAAATTCTTCAGCTTCCAGCTACAAGTGCTGCTTGTGAGAGAAGTTTTAGCAGTTATGCAAATATTCACAATGCCAAAAGAAACAGGTTGACAAATAAAAGGGCAGGCAAATTAGTGTTTGTATCACAAAATTTAAGATTGGAAGCAATGGATATGTGTCTAACACAACAACCAATCTTGCCTAAAGAATCATTAAATACATCAGATGAATCTCGTGAATCAATCAATATTTCAGATGACTCACTAGATCAAGAATTATCTGAACTTTACAATCATGATTCTTCAGGAGATGAATTTTAAATAACAAAACCTGAAATAAAACTGTTGTTTTCTATTAAATTTTGAATTCAAATTTTTACTAAATAAAAATTTGAAAACAATACCAAACCCATAAGCAATGGGATACCTAAGTTAGGTATCCTATACATAATAATAAAGTAGTCTGTGGTTACACAGTACATAAAAAAAATAACTGTTGTTTGTTATCTAATTTTAAATAATAGTGAAATTTGGTTCGCCATTTTACTAATCTATAATACTAAAAAGATCTATATTTTCTTAGCTCTTTTGCTAATGTCTCTGGTCTCACAAAATTGATAAACCTTAAGAATGTGTTAAAGCCCCAAAAAAATCAAACCGAAACCAAATAAATGCCAAAAAAAACAAAAAAACGCCAAAAAAACCAAAAAAACACCAAAAAAAACAAAAAAACACGTTTGGGTGAAAAAAACGTGACAGCAAAAAAACGCGTTTTTTAGCAACACTAGGTAGGTATCATTGAGCACATCTTTTCTGATTTCAATTGCTGCATTTCTTATTGAATTTTCTGCTACCTCAACATATGAATCCTGTAAGTTCTTGTTTGCAGTTTCAAATGGTTTCGAATTCATTGGTGGAGGCATATTCATAATAGAACAAAACCTTTTCATAGCAGTATAACCATAACCTATCTCACTAAGAGCCATTACTAACAAGTAATTTACTTCATAGGATTTACGAACATTCATTCCATGATCCTCTATAATTGGTTTAGAAGTTAAAAAATTTGTATTTCAATCACATTCGTTGCACGAGAGAAGGAAAATGTGAGCAAGTCCTTTTTTGTTTTCCATGTCATGAAAAACTTTAATTTCAGCTGTGCAATTATCTATCTATATATAGTATCTATAAAAGATATATTTAGTATCTATAAAAGACATAGATAATATATAACCCATCTTGCACCATTCGCCATGTTGCCCCGCTTTCCCCTACATTAAAAAAATATTTCTTTATAAGTCCAAGTATTAAAAATAATTAAAAGTCTTTGAAACTAATTTAGCTACAGAGATGATTGAAAATTCTTCATTCTTCATTCTTCAAAAAAAAACATTCTGAAAATGAAACATCTTAAGAAATTTAATACATTTAAAATAAACAAGAATTAAGTTGCCAATAAATATTGCCTAAAATTTTTCCTATTTCCCTATTTTAAGTAACCATGTTATGTCTTTGCTTGTCTGATATTTACACGCCAGATGATTTTCATAATAAATCAAAAGTAAATAAATTTTTTAACAATTACTTTCTTTTTCCGCATCGCATCCATTTTTCCTACAATTATATTAAACATTTTTATAATTATAACTATAATTAAAAAGAATACTTAAGTTAATAAGAATTTTTTTTGTTAGCTTGACGTTTTAAATATACAAAATTATTATAACATTAATATAAAATTATAATATTAAAAAATATTATTACAACAAATAAAGAAAAAAACATTTCGTTGTCAAAATTGACAGCCTTAAAGTAGCCGTATGATGTCTTTATTAGTGTGTGACATACCAAATGATTTTAATAAATAAAAAAATAACTTCATTTAGTTATAATGATTTTAATAATGATTTAAATAACTGAAGTGTTTCAGTTTCTCTTTCCGCGTGTCTGTCTTATAATTTTATTTGCTAAATAATATTAAACATTTTTATAATTATTTTTTAATTATATTTAAAAGAATATTATTGAAATAAAAATTATGACTTTTTATTGGGTTAAAATTAGGTGTAACTCTCAATGTAAACCGAACCCAAAAAAAAAACATTTTATACCAAAAAAATGGTAAAAAATTTCTTTTTTAACTCTAAAAACGGTTACAGACCATCTCTAATGTTTATGTTCAAAGCTACATACCAAAACCGTTAAAAGCGCTAAAGGCATCATAGTCCGTCTCCAAGAATAAACGAGTTTTATGAGAAAGAAATAAAAAGAAAAGAAAAAAAAGAAAAATTAATTTAAAAAGATACTTTTGTAAAAAGCATACAGACTGTTCAATTAAAAAACCTGACAAGAGATCGTATAAAAAATAAATTACGCAACGCTAAGTTTCACTAATAAACAAAACAAAAAAAAGTTCTAAAGTTTTCCTTCGCAGTTAATTAAAAAATCAAAATAAAGCATTAAGTTTAATGAAAAGCGTCGCGCAAAAGAGATTAAGATCTCCTACTCCTATTTGTTAAATGAATTAAGCGTTGTGTAATTTATGGACTAAAAAAACTCTCATCTTTTTGTACTAAAAGATTTTGGTATTTTTTTTTTTTTTCCCGTTTTTTTTTTTTGTTTGCTACGCTTTGTGCGTGTTTAAAAACATGACTTCTAAATTGATTAAACTTCAATATTTTTATTTGTGGTTGTTATGCTTTGCGACTTGGTGCAAATAGTTCCAAAAAATGATTTACTTTCCGAGAATATTTATTTGGTGATGCTTAAAAAAAATATGTTCATTTACATTTTACAAATTACGTTACTAAAATACGAAATATTACCGCAGTTGGCCGTTGTAATGCTTACGTCCATAAAAAGAAATAATACCAAATGACATCATTTAAATGTATAATAAAGTGGTAGCGAAAATGTAAAAGCTGGTTTTCCATACAGATTTTTTTCCGCTTTAAGGAAAAACTCCGTTAAATAAAAGAACAATGCTCAAGTGCAACCAATGTTAAATAATCAAAACTTGCTCATTTAACGTTTTTTTTGCATGCTCTGATTCTGACTTAAATAACTGTATTGTTAATGAATTATTTGTTATGCTATTTCATAAATAATATTTATACTAATTTATCTTAAACTTATTAACTATCTTATAATTATTAAGTAAGCTTTTAATTTGTTCTGTGTTATCTAAGTTTGATATATAAAAAAAAAAGTTTCCTTGTATTTTTAGCACAGTCAAAGTTATTGGAAAAATATATTTTGATTCGTCTAATTGCTACTATTACATGGTATTTTAAGAATAGAAACAATTGCGAAAATAATTTTAAAATGCGGTCTAATTTAAACGACTAATATTGTTTCGTTGTTATTGATTGTTGCGGATTTGAATGTAACCATAACAAGAGTTTAATTTTTAGTAAATGTATAAAGTTTATTATCCAAAATAAATATGCTGAAATGGTCACCGAAGCCGTTTTTCAAAAATACTGCAGCAAAACGTTCCGAAAAATACACGTCAGACTCAAAAAAAGACGAACTTGTAATTACAACACTTGACAGAAAAAAATATTATTTGCGTCCAAGGTTAGTATCAAATTCTTCTTTGTCGAATACTTCATTTGAAGAGAGTTTTTCAAATTCGTCCCACGATGGAGTTTTTTCTAAAGATGAGTTGCAACTTACAAATTGGAAATCAGAGAGCGACACACAGCAGCTATCAACAAAAGAAAAGATTTTTCTTGGTAGCAATTTTAATAATCGCATGTCTCGACGAAGTCTTCCTTCAAAATTTAATAACAATATAGAAAACTATAATACAAAAAACATATTTGAAGATAAAAAACTTGATAATACAGATTATAATTGCAAACAGTTTGATTCAGACATTATGGACAAAAGTGAAAAAATTGTTTGTAAATTAAAAAGAAAAAACGGATGCTACATTAAAGGATTTAATTATCAAAATTATATTGATACAAAAAAAAAGAACAAAGAACGTAATGATTTCAAGATTACAATAAATGAAGACAAAATATACGGTAATACTACGGAGGATATTTTACAGAATAAAAATTTAGCCGACGATACAATTTTTCCAAATCAAACATTTATGAACTTTAATAAATATAAAATATTTAACAAACAAAAATCTGTGATTAGTTAAGTTTCATAAAAATGTTTTCTTCGGTGTAAAACTTTTTATTTTTTATTTGAATTTAACTGCTTGCTTAACATATACGAAATGGTCCAACACTAAAATAAAAATTTACAGTTTATTTTAATTTACCAAGACAAATAATCTAGCTGTCTAAGTACATGCAAACTTACGGTTTTTTAAAAATGTGAAATAGTTACCGTCCTTAAATTTCAATTTAAGAATTTGAACTGACAAATGTATCTATAAAAGCTACACAAGAAAAAAGCTATTCAAATATCTCTTTTTAAATATAAACATTATGTAATTAAATATATTACAAATTTAAGAACTGTTTGCAAACTTTCTTAACTTTATCTGCACTAATTTTCTAAAATTCTGCATTCACAACAGTAAACCATTATTGCATCGCTAAAATTTGCGCGTGATATCATAAAAAATAAATCAGGTTTTAATACTTTCTATAAAAAATTCAAGAAAGGAGAGAAACCCAATATAAACTCAAAAAAGACCAAGAAACTTAATATAAAAAGATACGAATGTGAAACTCGATCATTCTTAAAAAATTTATAAAATGAATGTAATGAAAAATTCCATTACCTAAAAGTAAAACAGGATAATTATTACAGGTTTTATTTCTTATATTGGAATTGAGTTTTGACTCTGACCGGCGCCCAAATATGGTGTTTAGGGTCAGCTTACATGATTTAAGCAACCTACATGCAAAAATATAGTTGTTTGGGTCTGGAAATCCATTTTTGTGATTAAAAAAACTATCAAGTAACAAAATTAATTAAAAAACGTTTCTTCATTCTGGTAGAAATTTAATATCATTAAAAAGAAGGAATTCTAATATTCTCTTTCAATTTTCTCTGCACCAATATTAATTCTTCATTTTTAGTTTATTTTTCTTTCCAATAACTTGCCATTTTTCAAAACTTGTTCTGCATAAGATGTAAAGGAGATACTTTATACATCTTTCTATATAAAGTAGATATTCCATAAAAAATGATGTGTGTTACTTCTCTCATAATTAGCATCCAGTTTATTTATTTCACTTAGAGTTACTTTACAAACATATGGAGTTGATATTCCATTTAAAAAGATCAAACATCTGACAATAACTTATTTGCTTCGCCTACCCATTTTTACATACAGCTTGGAACCAGTCACACGTCACACCGTTGTTTAAAAAAAGGAAGTCGTCTCTATGTATATATATATATATATATATATATATATATAT